GTAGGGGAGGGTGGGGTGGTTGGTTTGCAGGGAAGTAGAGTTAACAGGGTGGTGGGGGAGGGGCAGAGGGTTCATCAAGGAGCAACAAACAGAAGTTTCACTCCGTAGCCTGGCCAGTCACAAAACTGGTTTTCAACGCTTCTCTGATGCGCACCGCGCCCTGCTGTGCTCCTCTAACCGCCCTGGTGTCTGGCTGCGCGTAATCAGCGGCCAGGCGATTTGCCTCAACCTCCCACCCCGCCATAAATGTCTCCCCCTTACTTTCACATATATTGTGGAGCGCACAGCAAGCAGCAATAACAATGGGGAGATTCTTTTCGCTGAGGTCTGAGCGAGTCAGTAAGCTGTGCCAGCGCGCTTTTAAACGGCCAAATGCACATTCCACCACCATTCGGCACTTGCTCAGCCTGTAGTTGAACAGGTCCTGACTACTGTCCAGGCTGCCTGTGTACGGCTTCATGAGCCATGGCATTAAGGGGTAGGCTGGGTCCCCAAGGATCACGATAGGCATTTCAACATCCCCAATGGTTATTTTCTGGTCCGGGAAGAAAGTCCCTTCCTCCAGCTTTCGAAACAGAAGAGACTGCCTGAAGACGCGAGCATCATGTACCCTTCCCGGCCAGCCCACGTTGATGTCGGTGAAACGTCCCTTGTGATCCACCAGGGCTTGCAGCAGCATTGAAAAGTACCCCTTGCGGTTTATGTAGTCGGTGGCTTGGTGCGCTGGTGCCAAGATAGGGATATGGGTTCCGTCTATCGCCCCACCACAGTTTGGGAATCCCATTGCAGCAAAGCCATCCACTATGGTCTGCACGTTTCCCAGAGTCACTACCCTTGATATCACCAGGTCTCTCATTGCCCTGGCAACTTGGATCACAGCAGCCCCCACAGTAGATTTGCCCACTCCAAATTGATTCCCGACTGACCGGTAGCTGTCTGGCGTTGCAAGCTTCCACAGGGCTATCGCCACTCGCTTCTCCACTGTGAGGGCTGCTCTCATCCTGGTATTCTGGCGCTTCAGGGCAGGGGAAAGCAAGTCACAAAGTTCCATGAAAGTGCCCTTACGCATGCGAAAGTTTCGCAGCCACTGGGCATCGTCCCAGACCTGCAACACGATGCGGTCCCACCACTCTGTGCTTGTTTCCCGGGCCCAGAATCGGCGGTCCACGGCATGAACCTGCCCCAGTAACACCAGGATTTCCACATTGCTGGGGCCTGTGCCTTGTGAGAGGTCCATGTCAATTTCCTCATCACTATCGTCGCCGCGCTGCAATCGCCTCCTCCTCAGCTGGTCCTGGTTTGGCTTTGGCATGTCCAGGAGGCTCTGCATGTTTTCCAGGACAATGCGCGTGGTGTTCATAGTGCTCATAATTGCCGCGGTGATCTGAGCGGGCTCCATGATCCCAGTGCTGGCTATGGCGTCTGGTCTGAAAAAAGGCGCGAAAGTAGTATCTGACGGACCAGGGGAAGAAGGGAGGGAGGGAGGGAGGGAGAGAGGGAGGGGTGAGTGACGACATGGCGTACAGGTACAGGGAATTAAAATCAAGAAAGGTGGCTTTGCATCAGGGAGAAACACAAACAACTGTCACACAGAATGCCCCCCCCCAAAGATTGAACTCAAAAGCCTGGGTTTAGCAGGAGGGAGGGGGGAAGCAAATGAATACAGAATAAATCTATTTTTTACATCTTAAGACGACGGTGCAGCATGACTGATAGCCCTTGGCATTTTCTGGGTGCTTGGCAGCAAATACTGGGCGCTTGGCAGTAAGCCTTCAGGTCTATTGCACCATCTGATACCCACTGCAATATGACAACGACGGATACCAATCGTAATATGCTATCTACTGCCCAAAAGGCAAGGGGTTGCTGCTGTGTAGCAATCTAGCCCCACGTCTGCCAGCCCCACGTCTGCCAGCACCCAGATCGCCATCGGCCTCTTCTGGGTGCTTAGCAGACAATACTGGGCACTTGGCAGAAAATAGCATACTACGACTCTGCTAACGTGCAATGAGCCAGCAGGGCGCCTGGCAGAAAATAGCATACTACGACTGATAACCATCATTGTCTGCCCGGGTGCCCATGATCGACAGCCACTGCAGTACGACGACGACGGATACCAGTCATAATATACCATCTTCTACCAAAAGGCAAGGGGCTGGTGCAATGCAGCCCTACGGCTGCCAGCCCCACAGCTGCCAGCACCCAGATCGCCAATGAAGGCTACCAGTCATGCTGCACCGTCTACCGCCAAAAGGCAGTAAGCTGCTGCTGCTGTTTAGCAATGCAGTCCCACGTTTGCCGGCACCCGGAAGACATATGGTGACGGTGAGCTGAGCTGAGCGGGCTCAATGCTTGGCGTGGTATGTTGTCTGCACAGGTAACCCAGGTAAAAAGGCGCGAATCTATTGTCTGCCGTTGCTGTGACGGCGGGGGAGGGGCCTGACGCAATGTACCCAGAACCCCTCGCGGCACTGCTTTGCATCATCCGGGCATTGCAATCTCAACCCATAATTCCAATGGGCGCCGGAGACTCCGGGAACTGTGGGTCGAACCGCAGTCGACGGCGAGCACTTCCTGGTTCGATTTATCGCGTCCAGACCAGACGCGATAAATCGAACCAGGAAGTTCGATTTCCAGCCACCGAACTAGCGGCTAAGTATAGACCAGCCCTTAATGTTCTGTTCTTCTCCCGGCTGTCTTTCAGCCCATTTCCAGATTCACGCTCTTGCCAAGTCCTGTCACTTCTTCCACTATATTTAAATATCTGACCCTTCCTCTCTGTACATTATGACAAACCCAGTCCACATTATGATCATCTCTTACCTCATGATCTGCAACCACCTTCTGTCCTCCTACTTCACCAGTCTATCCAAAACACTGCAGCTAAGAACATCATCTGCCATTCCAACCTTTGCCCCTGCTCTCAACTAACTTCACTGGGCCTTCCACCTATCAATCAAACATATGCTCTTTATTCTCAAATCCCAAGTCCTGCTCTAGCTCTGCTCGAGCCTACTTCTCAGCACTCGTTTCCACCTCCACCCCAGACAGAAGCCGGAATACCAATCAATCCTCTCTTCCTAATGCTCCCTTTGTTTCTTCCACTTGACCTTTCTATTATCATGCTGTCCCCTCCACTTTGAGCAGCTCCCCTCTTCCCCTGAGCAAGCACCCTCACTCTCCCTCAAATTCCTCCTCAGTGCTTACTTCTTTCACTTATACTTCAAAGGCTGATCTCTTCTCCAAAACTCTCAGTTCCTGATCCTCTGTCATTTGTGTGGTATCTGCCTAAATTAGATTAGGCTTTTTCACTGAAGAGCGCCTAATCTTCCTATGCAATTGTAAAGTGGTATACACAACTAATGCACCATATAAATGACAGTAACTTTTCTACATCTTCAACATAATTGGGACTGTCCAAAAAAAATAAAATAAAATAAAAAACCCAACCGGAAAATATCGGCCATATAAAACTTGAGCAAGTGTGACACTTAGCTTGAAAACAATTTATCAAGTGTTTATTAAATACTAATCTGTTAGAACAAACAGTAATCTGCTAATAGAGTCCTCCCGAGGCCAAAGGGTGTGTGTGTGTGTGTGTCTGTCTCAAGCTCGTTGTTTGATCAAGGCCAGGGTATACCACCACATCAATAGGCCTCACCCATGACTCCCGGGGTGGACAACCTCTTTGATTGAGACCACAGTTCAAGCGCCATTCAACCCCATTCTCTCTGTCAAGACTGCTAACAAGGAGACCAATTAGTGCTAGGTTTTGTCATGTCCACTCTCATTCAAATAGACTGAGATCACTAAGGCTGTGTCTACACTGCCACTTTCAGCGCTAAAACTTTTGTCATTCAGGGGTGTGAAAAAACACCCCCCCCCGAGCGACAAAAGTTTTAGCTCTGAAACGCACCAGTATAGACGCAGTCACTCCACTGCCCATCCAGTCAAAATTTTCAAGAGTGATTAGCGATATTGGGTGCCCAACCTGACACCTGAGATGCCTTAAAGGAGTGAGATAATCAGATAGCAGGAGCTCAGCCCCCTTCAGACAATCAGTTTGGGCACCCAAAATCACTGGTTACTTTCGAAAGCCGGAGTCTGTGGCTAGACGCTAAAGGTTACTGGCACAGAAAGAGATTACAGGGTGAAAAATATGTAAAATCTATTTTCCAAGATAGTTTACTTTGTGCATTTGACAGCATTTTACTCAGCTAGTCGGTTTCCTCTCTAGTTGCCTGGCCCTTTCAGATAGCACAGAAAAATGTTTTCAAAGATTGGAAAACATGATTGTAAAACCACAAAAGTTAATGGGGGACTCGGAGGCAGTATAATACCCAAAACTACTTTTAACTCTTTATTTTTACATTAATTAGATTTGGTATCCCTCTATCCCAGGCCTGAACCTCCATCCCTAACATGATATTTAAAGTCTTCACCTTAACATTGTCACTTCTTCATATGTTGTTCTATTACATTTTTACAGAGGACATGCAACAATGCAGCCCTGTCCATCTAGCTGTCATCTTGAGTGTTTCACTCAGTCCACTGAACTAAAAAGCAGCCACAGTCACCTAGATGGGCTTGGATCGAGAGCAAGGATATTAGATTATGAAGCTAAAGGTGCCAGGGTGAAGAAGAGCACCAGTTTGGGCTCAGGGAATGGCTAGATCAGTGCAGTCTATATTAAACACCGAGAGAAGTGTGCAGCACCTGGGGCTATGGAGCCAGGGGATACGGCCCATCCACTTTCCGCAGCTGTGGAAATCAGGTCCCGGACCGCCACATTCGCCCTCCCTTGACGCCCCGTATCTGCGTGGCTCTGGGCCACTTGCACCGCGTTAGTCTATGAACTGTACGAAGAAGCAGCAGCAGCGGGCGGGGGGCGGACGAGGAGGATGAAAGCGCCGCGGAAAGCCGGGGACATGATGCCATTCGCCCCTCCCTCCGCGCTAGGTCCCTGCGGCTGCGGGCGGGCCGGGGGCGGGCAGCCTTACCGGGCGAGTAGAGCTGGGCCAGCTGGCGGGCCCCGGCGTGCTGCGGGCCCCAGCGGGGCACGGTGCTGCTGCGGGCCGCCGCCCCGTGCTGGTTGCCGTTGGGATCCTCCTCGGCCATGGAGCGGTGCTTGATCTCCAGCTCGCTGAGCAGAGCCGCCGCCATGCTCCCTGCTCCGCCGGAGAGCGGGCTCCGGGAAGGAGGCGGCGGCGGCGGCGCTGCGGAGCAAAGCGAGAGGCGAGCGCACCTGAGAACGCGGCAGCCGGGCGGGGAGCGCCCAGCGCGGCGCAGGGGGGCGCCGCCCTCCCCGGAGCGCCCACGCGCGCCCACCGGGCGGGGGGCGTCAGCCCTGGGGAGGTTCCCGGAGCCCCTCCCCTCGCACACAGGGAGCCCCCGCTCCATGAGCAGCCCCCGGCCCGTGTCCCCAGCCTGGGGCAGCGGCAGTGCCCGCGGGGAGGGCGGCCCTAGGGGAGCCCCCCCGGACCGGGCACAGCCGTGTGGGGGAGCTGCAGCCGGGCACATGGGCAGGAGCCCCAGGGAGACTCGGGGTGGTGGCCGCTCCCGCTCCAGGGCGCGTCCATCCCCGCCCTGGCCCGCGCCCTGACGGCTCCCGCACCCCCCGGGGTGACAGCTGCCTGGGGAGGAGACAGGCTGCGACCTGCCCTGCGTGGGGGCACCCGCGGCTATCGGCTCATGCGCGTGTCCGTGGCCCCCTTCCCTAGCTGGGGATGTTCACCCGCCCGCAGCCGCGCCCCTCACCTGCCGCCCGGCTGGTGGCCCCGCTGGCTGGGCCGCCCGCCGACACCGGCTGCTCCCCTTTCCCAGCCGAGCCGAGCCGATCCGTCCTCCCGCTGCTGCGAACGCGGCCGCCGCTAGGGGCGCTGCGGGGCCGCCGCTCCCCTGGTCCGGCGGCTCTCTGAGCCCGTCCCGGCTCCCCCCGCGGCTCGCCCGACACCTCCCGGACCAGCTTGCTGCTGCCTGCCCGGCCCGGGCCTGCTGCTCCCGGTTACTCGAACCTCCCCCCCGCGCTGCTGCGGGTACGAACCCGGGTCTCCCCGGGGCAGTACTGGAGCGCAGGGTTTGGTTATGAAACCCTCTGACTAGAGCTCCTGCTCTGCTGTGTGGGGACCAGGTTGTGGGCAATGGCCTGGCTAGGGGAGGAGATATTAAAGGGGGGCCTGCAGGGACCCCTGTATTTGGGTTACCCGGCATGTTCCAGTATAAGATTCTTGGGACCATATTCTGTACAGCTCTGTTACACCCCCCTCTCCCCCCTTTGCAGCAGGCCTCTGAAATATGGCAGTGGCATGGCTTGGAGGTGTGTGTGTGTGTGTGGTGGTGGTGGGGAAGTACCTTTTGTTAATCACCTGTACATCTGTTCAGGTTTGGGAGTGATTATAAACTATTGAAACAACTCTCTCTTCTTGTTGTTAGGATCCACAGGGCTCCTTCTTGTGTCATACCCATCCTCCAGGTACTGATTTAATTCATGAGATCAAACAGTTGCATTTCTCCATGCCAAAGGCTGGAAACTCCTACTTTTCTCTCATTCACATAATTCTTTGCTATGATTACTGGGGACTTGTATAAATAGACCAAAACCAGTGATCATTACTAATACTTATCATGGACATGGCGCTTTCAACTCCTACCTACTGTACAGACATGAACAAATGAATTTTAGCACTTCAACAATCTCCAGAACGTGGCCTTCACCATTTCTCATACTTAGGGTGACCAGATGTCCTGTTTTTATAGGGACAGTCCCAATTTTTGGATCTTTTTCTTATATAGACTCCCATTACGCCCCACCCCCATCCCAATTTTTCACACTTGTTGTCTGGTCACCCTACCCATACTGGTCTTTCAGGAAAGCTGCAGGCTTCAAGATGTTTAACGTAACAAACCTAAAGATTCTCCTCTACTTAGGCATCATGCACGCTGCAGTGTAGACTCATAGCAGTTTCATTTTATTGCAGGTTCACAGTAATTCTGCTTCATTGTAAGGACCTGCTTTCAGCTCTTATCAAAGTCCAGTTCTAGTCTCCATTGTGCCAGCTCACTGCCATTCTTTCTTCTGCAACCAACACTTTCCCTGGTCCACCTGTGCCATGCCTTGCCTGCCATCAGTCTGACAATGGATGGGATATTTACTTCATAAGTTTTGAAGCAATTTGCCAAAGATAGGTCCACATTAGAAGTAATGGTAACTCACCTGGACCTCAGTAGTCATCTTCTCAGATCAGCAGCAACTGAATAAGACAGACAAATTGGTTTGAACTTGACCTTTTGACTAAAATCAAGTGTAGTATTATCTAGTATCAAGGGATTACATTTTATAATGTATTCTGTAGGATATTTCCATAAGGAAAACTAACGGAGAGTGACCTTTTAAACCAAGTCGTTCCTTGCTCTCTTACTATACCTTTATACATTAGCTATTCCTTTTATTACTTTGCCCTTGCACCGTAGGGTTTCATCCTCCTTTTCTCTGCATAGTATGTCACAGATTGCAGTACTCCTTAGCCTAGATTTAAAACATTTTAACCACATCTCTGTTTCTGTGCTTCTAAATTAAGCTCACATACATTACATTCTTTTTTCCCTCATACTAGTGGATAGTAATACAATACAGGTGATCAAATATTTTCAGATTCATTGAGATCTCACCTAGTCCTCTGAAAAAATAGCATTCAATCCTAAAGTCAAGGAGTTGTGTGAGATTTAGTGATTTGATGCCCACAGGAATCAATGGCCATTTTGGGGTTTAAATCATGTGCAATTCAGGGGCCCAATTATTCCCTATGCACTACTTCTGTTGCCTTCATTGGGAATTGCACACATGCAACTAACAGAATAATCAGGCCCCTGAAAATGTAAGCTGGTGTCCCTAAACACAGCTACTGTATTTTTAACTCATTCAGTGTTAGATGCATCTGTGGCCTCAGAGCACCAGCTAGGAATGTGCACTGGCACTCAGAAGGTATTTTCTCCTAGCTAATGCTCTCTGTTTCAAATGGGATATACACCCATCTATAACCTGCATTGTCTGTATTTAAAACATAAACTTACCTTATATTATATCTAAGTATTTCTGTTACCATGACATCAAGCAAGAAAATAAACATTACTCTCCATAGAAAATGAAATGCATGGTAACAGAACATTTTAGCAAGTCTAATGACAGACTCGGAGCCATCATAACAGATTATAGGAGACAAATAAAAAGATTGCTTTTGATAGTCTGAAATGAAAAAAAAATTAAATATTTTGCATACAGAAGGAGAGAGAGAAACCATTTTCAGATAATCTGTCTTTGTTCCAAGCAAATGACAGAAATGGACTATGAATTCACAAACTATGGAATGGGGCTGGAAAAGAAACTCTCTCTATATTTCCTACAAATCAGGTTATTTCTTGAAACACAGGAACAAAGAATCCAGAATGCAGAGAGAGTTATTATTATCAGTAAAATATGTATTGTGGTTCTCAGGAAAGAGAATGTTAGTTCAATTTTTTCATACTTGATATTCTTAGACATTTTAAACCCCAATCCTTCAAGTTGGGTTTACTCAGCCACCCACAGAGGTATGCAACAAAATATATAACAATAAAATAACTAGAGCCCTGTACAGATACAAAATTTGTATCCGCATCTGATCAGCAAACATGGTCTGTGGATATAAAGTGGATAACTGCAGCTTTTCAGGGCTCTAGATATAAAATTTGGATCCGCATCCATCCGTGATCTGCAAACGTGGTCTGCGGATATCTCCATCCGTGGATACAAAGTGGATATCTGCAGATTTGCAGCGCTTTAAAAATAACTTTGCCTAAAAGCTAAAAGTTGCTTGACTACATTTGTGATTAAAATTACATAAATACATATGATTCAATGTTTAAAAAAAAAAAAAAAGCTATAAACCAATATTCAAAGTGAACTCACATAATGACAGAAATCAGACATTTCAGAGGTATACCCTAAAGCAGGCTAAGCATTCCAGAATCAATCTATCAAAGTCTATTATGTTAGAGTAGATGAGATAAAGTCATTGACTTGCAACTAAAGAGATTCTAATTCTAGTCCTAGCTCCTGTACTTGTTTGTAACAGATGTTAAATAACTTTTAGTGATAATTCAGTAGAAGTCCTGCTATTAGATGGATATAGGGGATAAATTAAATATCTTAGGCCCTGATTCAGGAAAGCACTAAAGAACATAGTACATCTCTATTCAGGATAGCAATTAGGCCCCAGTTCAGCAAGGCGTTTAAGCACGTGCCTACCTTTAAACATGACCTTGCTAAATCTCAGCCTTAAGTATGTGCTTCACTTTAAACATGTGCTTAGGTCCCATTGTCTGTAATTAAGCATGTAGTTAAGTGCTTTCCTGAATAGAGATGCTTTCCTGAATTGAGGACTAGCTTTCAGACCTAAACAATTCTATGATTTTCCACACCCTGCTCACTTGTAACATTACACTAAGCATGGCTTTCCAAGCTTCTTTGGTCTCATTCTGTAAAAGCTTCCTTTGGGCAGACAAGAGTCAGAGATGTTATTTTTTAATGAGTCCCTCCCCCTCCACCCAAATTCTGCCCAGTTCAACAAAGTAAAATAGACTCGGCCCCACACAAGCTGATTTGAATTATTTATTTTTTAGAGTTGTCCGTCTTAGAGCTGAATTAGTGAAACACATCTTTAACTGAGCCAGGAGTCTGGACTGTCATGTTGACGTTCTCATTGGGGAAATGATGCTGTAAACACCCATACTTGATTCACATGCATGGTCTCTTGGTTGCCTAGAGTAATGCCCATCTGTTTGGATGGCATCTTGCCCACACAAGTTGCCCCAGAGAATACGTGCTGGGCAATGATTGGTTTAGGTAAGTGTTTCTCAAACTGGGTCGGTGTCAACCTCTTTTGGGAAGGCCCAGGAGAAAATGAAACAAAAAGAATTTTTTTTATTTTCAATGGATTGTTTTAATTTAACATTCAGCAAAAACATCACCATGTATTGAATATTAAATATTTAATATTCAGTAGATGGTTGTGTTAATTCCTAGGTAAATATGGCCCAACAGGAAGAAAAAATGAATAAGTACCCCTCTCCCGATTTATAAACTAGATTTATAAACACCTGCACCATCTTTTTTTTTCAGGGAAAGGTTTTCTCTGTTCCTTTTGCAAAAGCCTTTACATCAGGGAAGGGCTGA